CCAAGGATCAATTAGCCGATGCTCTTACAAAACCGTTATCCCGCGCAACATTTCAGTTTCTAATGTCCAAGATTGGAGTTTCGAAGAGTACTCCTCCATCTTGAGGGGGCATATCAAGGATCAATCACAATTATCACAGGAATCAATCAATGTTCCTAATATGTAAAGTGTATATATTGTCATAATGTCGTATTAGAAGTCTCTAGAATCATTTAGTTGTATATATACTCTCTGTACTCAATCAATAAGAATCATCCAATTCACAATCCCTATTCTATAGAACAAAGTTGTACAGATATTTAAATTATTCGGGAAAGAAGATTTTGTGGAAGGTAACAAGAGCAGCTTTTTGTTTATTTGGCACACATATGATGATCAGATACAAGTGTTTCCCAACTTATGATGCATAAACAAGATTTGGCATATTGAACATATCGACATTGCGATGCTACGTCTCTAGAAAATGCCCTTTGTATGTTGTACACAAATCCAGAAACCTTGGCACATCCATATACCATATTATTGATGTAAAGAAGGCTCTGATATATGTAAAAAAAGGTGATATGCGTAGTGTTTACCTTTTAGTGTTTTTAATCTCTAACTAGATCATAACCCGTGCTTGAACAGCACGGATGAAACTTTAATTTTTAAATATTTATATAAAGTTGGATTATTGTTTGTTTTATAGTACAATTTTAATAATTCTTTACATAATACAATGACATATAAGGATTTTTTATTTTATTTTATTTTGTTTGATGGGAAAATATTAGGGGTGGGGTACGGTTTTTCGGTTTAGTATCGTTTTTTTCGTTTTGTAGAAAGTGAAACCATATAGAAACCGTATGTAATTCGGTTTAGTTACAGTTCGATTTTTACGGTTTTTACGTTTTTTTGGTTAAAAATAAAACGTATGTATTTGATATATGCTAGTAGTAAGTGAAAAAATATTGCGTATATAATAAACATATTTTGGTATATAATAAGATTAAATTCAACATGTGCGTACCTATATTTTTATTTTAGAATCCCAATGAAAAAATTGTGTGCACAATCCATCATTCATTATTTTCATATATACTTATATAATCAAAATTTTAAATATTTAGAGGTGTCAAACCTTACTTAACTCATCTCTTCATATAATCTTAACATGGTTTCGGTTATGAAGATCATACATCTTTTTATCATATAATACATTACATTGAACCTGCTGCTTGCTATAAATATTTAAATATTTATGCTTTGAAAAATAAAATTAGAGTATTTATAACTTTTATCTTTTGATTTATTAAATATTTATGATATTCTTAAAAATATTATATTAAACTATTTAAAAAATTTTCCGAATTAAAATATTTTTTTATTTTTTATTGTAGAATATAAAATTAAGAATTTTTTAAAAATAATTCTATGAACTTAAATATAAATATTCAAATAGTTATAAGGATCATAACTCATTCCATCATATAATACATTATATTTAATCCACCGTCTATTATAAATATTTTTTAAATATATTTTGTTTTAGGAAAACCAAATTAGTGTATGTCTAATATTTAAAATTTTATCGTAGTATATAAAATTATATATTTTAAAAATATATATGAAATTGAATATAATTACTCAAATTCTGACCCGTTATTCAGGCAGAATTTTTGTTGAATTTATTTTTGTTTAAAAGAAATATATTATCGAAGTCTAAATTTTTGATTCGTTAAATTTTTTTTTTTCATAAATTGAATAATTTATATTTGTTTTTAAAAATTCAAATCATGGCATATGCGGAAAATAATCTATTTTCTATTATTATATGGATGATATGATGATTTATTTGTTTCACAATAATATAATCATATAAAGATGAGAGGTGAAATATAATGATTAATAACAAATTAATAAGGTAAGTTAGATATCAAATCTTATATATTCATTTTGATTGGTCATTTAAAAATAATAATAATAATTTATTTTTCGTTTTTATAATTAAATTGTATAAATTGACTTGTTTATCTTTAATGAGATGAATTAATTTACTCTTTGAAATTTTATCTCTAATGGCATTTTTAAGTAAATTTTTACAAAAGGGAAGGTTAGTTAAGGGTATCTTATAAAGTATACTCCCCAAATAATAGTATAAGATATCTATTATTCTTTAAGACCAGAGCACTCTTTTACTTGAATAACAATCCAACAATAACCAAATACTTTTTGTCATTTCGACATAAGGAATAAGAGTTTGGTCGGAAAAAGGACCAATAATCAATCTTTTCTGAATTTCAATTAGTAAACGTTAAAAGTATTTTTTTTTTTTGTCATTTCGACAATTTAGAAATAATTTTGTTTCTTACTTACAAGGTACAAGATACAAGATACATATTTAGAACTCAGAACAAATATTTTATCGTGAATAGGTCAATTATGATAATCAAGAGGTAGCGTTCTTTACAGACTGTTCAGACCTGGTGAAGATGATGTCTTCTCCAACCGAATGGCCGGCGTTTTCAGTTTATTTGGAGGAATTTCAGAGCGACAAGGAGGAGTTTTCATCTTTCTCTTTATCTTTAATTTTTCGTAGAGCTAATACTAAAGCGGATAATCTGGCACGAAAAGTTCGTACAGAACCGCTTCATATCACATATGTAAACAATATTCCTCAGAAATGGCTCTTTTGAGCTCTAATTAATTTTGGATGACAACAAAAAAAAATGGTCAATCATGATAATATATTATTTGGATCCGTAGGCTGTAGATGATGTATTTTTGTACATAATCTTTAATTCCAAAAGAAGTGGATAGCTCTATATGAAATTTGGCCCTACTTTATTTCACATGACCTTTTAAATATTTCAAAAGCCATGAGTCAACTTATGTATTATAAGTTTTATAACCATGATAATAAAAACAATTTGTTTGTAAGAACAATTACGTAACAGCATTTATCTAAATTACGTGACTATTATTAGTATCGTCGGCGATTTGTAAAATATGTTAATATTATCCTTTTTGCCTATGTAATAAATTATCTTTCTCGGTTGGCACTAAATTGCACGTTAAATATCTGACAACTATGTATGTTTGAAATAATATTCCAATTTTAACGAAATTATTTCTTGTAAAGATCGGCTTTTTTTAATAATTTCTACGACGTGGACAGACATTGGAGTTTGTATGATTAGATTAAGACCGTTGTTTGATATCCTCACGTAGATTGAATCTTGTTTGATTGCACTTCATCTGTTTTAAAATATTAGATCATATACTATTATTTGGAGAGTACAATTTACAATTACCTTTAATTAACATTCCTCTTTATAAGAATTTACTTAAGAATGCCATTAGAAATAAAATTATATAGAGTAAATTAATTCAACTCATTAAGGATAAACAAGTCAAATACTATTTATGCAATTTAATTAATTTAATTTAATTATAAAAACATAAATCTATTATTAATTCCTTTAAAAAGAATGACTAATCAAAATAAATATATAAGATTTGATATCTAACTTACCATATTAATTTGTTATTAATCATTATACTTCACATCTCATCTTTATATGATTCTATTTCTATAAATAAATAAATCATTATATCATCTATATAATTAAAAAAAAAAGTAATTTTTTCCGCATATACCAAGATTTGAATTTTTAAAAACGAATATAAATTATTCAATGTATGAAAGAAAAAATTTAACGGGTCAAAAATTCATATTTAAGTAATATATTTCTTTTTTTTAATATCATCAATACTTAATAGATCAAAAATTTATGAAATATAAATACACTAATTTGATTTTTTGAAACAAATATTCATAATAGGCGGCGGGTTGAATATAATATATTATATGATGAAATGAGTTATGAACCTTATAACTATTTGAATATTTATATTTAATTTCATATCATTTTTTAGAAACTATGGCTTCCAAATTTGGTAACAAATTGATTTTGTTTCTAAATTTTCCTAAAATATTTGTACCTAATTTAAACATTAATGTATGATTCTTCTTTCACTTTTATATGATCTTATAGTAATTTATTTTGAATTTATATAAAATACATATAATTAATAAAATAATAAATTTTTCTGCATATAATGTGATTAATTTTTTTTAAACGGACATATATTACTCAATCGATGAAAAATAATATGTGTACAATGTCCCACACACTAGTAGAAATTTTTCGTATAACCACGGTTTAGCCATGGACATTCGTGGCTAATTTCATACCAGCCACGAATTAGTCACTAAAAAATAACGTGACAATTTTCGTGGTTTCTGGTGGTTTTTCGTGGCTAATTTTTGCCACGGATTTTATCTGTAGCAAATTCGTGGCTATTTGCTACGAAAAAGCCACGAAATTTTCGTGATTATTTTATTTTCGAATTTATTTTATTATATAGCCACGAATTTGCTACAGATAAAATCCGTGGCTAGACGAAAACCTAAATCTTAAAGACAAACTCTAAACAAAAATCTAATTACCAATGTATACCCTAATTAAAATTAAGATCCAACACTTTTATAAAATTCTTAATTTTTAAATCAAACATTTCAAATCTATACCCCAAACCCTCAATTTAACTCCAAATCCTAAAATCTAAACTTTAATTAAAATTTTCATTATAGAAATTAAACCATAAACCATCAAACCAAAATATAACCATTACATTTACATAAAACCAATATTTAGAACCATTTACAAAAAAATCAGTTGTTTGTTAAGAAGAAAATAGCAAAATATTTGAAATCTAATCAATTTTTTAACCCTAAACCAAAACATAATCAGTATAATAAACTAAAATCAAATAAAAATAAAGTTTTAAAATATAATCATCATTTTAAAAATTCTAAACTGGAAACCATAATTAATAAATATATTGAACAAATAAAAACAAATGTATTTAATAAAAATACATACAAACAAAAGTTATAAAAAATATAGACAAAATGCAATAAAAGAGACTTGATTCTCATTGGTTACGCCACATTGACGAGGATCACAGTTTTGTTGATCATCCACCGTTGATAACATTAAATCTAACGGACAGAAATCTTCCTTTTATTTTGTTTCTCATTCCCAACAAAAGCAATTACTCTCTTCTTCTTCTCTTTTTTTTTTTTACGATCTCTACTTCTCTTCTCCTGTTTCCTTTTTGTTTTTCTGGTTAAATTTCTCTTTCTTTTTCTTCTTCTCTATTTTTCATGAATACTAATCCTTTCTTTGTTCTTTTTTTTTTCAGATCTCGCATATCAAGCCTCCGCCACCGCGTCTTGAAGCCGTCGTTCACCACCACCACCACCATTGACGATGTTCAACGCATCAGCGCCGTGACATCAGCCCTGGAGTTCAACGCAACGACGCCGTCACATCAGCCATGGAGTCTGATCCAAATTCCGATTGCTGCAATGTTTTCAATGGGCAACAATGAGAGCTCCTAGATCTGATGCCCGACGAACCCTCACCCTCCAGCCACCACCAGATCCGACGCCACGAGACCACCGAAGATGCTTGACGGAAAGACATCTCGTGAAGCATTTTTTAATTTTTTTTTTTTTTTTTTGGTAAGGTTTTAATTTTTCTTTTTAGTTAAAATCATTGTATTTTATAAATAAATCAATTTCACATTTTAATTAATAAATAATAATCCTTTTTGTTTTTGTTTTTTTTTTATTAAAATTATACGAAAAAGTCACGAATTAGTCAGGATTATTTTCGTGGTTGTAGACTTGTAGAGCCACGAATATTTAAGTGGCTATCTGTGATAAATCAGCTACGAAATACGTGTGACTAATTCGTGGCTAAATAGCCAGGAAAAGCCACGAAAAAAATAAAGCTACGAAGCTATAGCCACGAATATTTTTAGTGACTAGTCGTGGCTAGATTGACTTATAGCCACGAATTTTTAGGTGCAGCCATGAATATTGAAGTGACTATACGTATTTTTTTTACTAGTGACATTGTTTAAAAAATTGGGCAATGGTTTAGAGTCATACTATAAAAAAGGCCAAAATAATTCTGAATACAAAACAGGGTATACCACGGGTGAAACCTAGAATTAAAAATAAAGATATAATTATATAATCTTAAATACTAAACAAACCAAAAATATATAATTTAAAATATAAAAATTTTAGTTTTTAAAAAATCGACCCACAATATATCGCGGGGTAAATTTTTTTGATACAAAATAATATCAAATTATTATAATAGTCCATGATTATAAATGCCTCCCAATATTAACACTATATCATTTCTACACCTACAACTCTTCTAAGTACACATATTTCGACGATATTAATTATAATATAAAATAATTAAATGAATTTTTATTATTTAATATCAATTTAAAAATCTAATAAATTATAAATTATTATATAAAATACATAAAATACAATTTTGCCCCGCGGTGTACCGCGAGTTAAATTCTAGTTGTATATTAAATTATGTACATAAATAGGAAAAAAGTAAGTAACCCCTTGTTGAATCAAGGGTTAGGAAAAAAGTAACATTGTATAAAAAAAAATCTTTGCCATTTTCTTAATATTATCTTTTCAAATATCTATATCTCTAATACAATTAAAGGTGAAATCATGAGATTTTTTTTGTTTATGTTAATCATGAATTCATCATAATCTTTGGCCGTTAATGTTGCTATGTCCAAAATCAGCTCTCAATAATATCTTTTTAAAACGTAAATCATCCTTTCCCAATTTCATCCATATATTATATTTTTTTAACATAAATTTTATCTACACAAATTCATCCATATATTATATTTATATGCTTTATTGAATCTTTGAATATAAATTTATAAAAAATTTCAAGCATCTAATTTTATTTTTTTTGTCAACAGAATTTGCATCTATTCATATCAACTTTTTCATTAAATTTACTTGCATCAAAAATTTAAAATATAATTAAAGTAAATCGAATTTTATAGATAAAATTTCAGCATCAAGGTGACGAAAATTCAAAAAAAAAAAAAAAAAACAATGTGACCAGACAAAAACGAAAGTACGACAAAGAAAATAGAAAAATCATTAATCTTAGTACCGTCAGATTTTATCATCTACGATAAGTTCCACAATAAAACCAAACACTAAACTGTTCAGATCTCAGATAGTAATTTAAATCAACGGCTAGAAATTCGCCATTTGTACTTTTATTACACAACAGAGAATAACACTATCTCTCTCCTATTTGTAACTTATTTCTCTCTCTCTCTCTACTGTGTTTAGAAATTGGAATCTTCTCTCTTAAAAAGGGACCGTACACGTCTCTCTCTATTTCCAGTACAAATCGAAATTCGTATAATTTTCTGAGTCCCGTAATTATCTCCTCTGTTTCCTTCTCCAATTCGTCTTCGAATTCGCCTCTCTGTTTCGTTCGTCGTAGAAGAAGAAGAAGAATCTCAGGTTTTAGCTTCCAAAAGCTTCGACAATTTTGAATTTTGATCTCAAGATTGATCTCAGCAACGAATTTTACACAGAAGCTTAAGTATAATTAGATTACCCAGAAGTTGTTAAAGGTAAGCAATTCAGATCCACCATTTTTTTTTTGTAGCTTTGTTTGAAGTTTTTGTGTTTGTTTGTTGTTAGGAGAAATTTGAAATCTGGGCTATTACCAAAAATGGGAATTTGGTTAATGTTGTTATCATTAACTATAATATTAGCCTTTTGGGATTTGTGCTGCTTTTGTGTGTATCAAAAAGTCTCAGATTTGGATTCACTTTTTTGAAATCCTTTGTGTTTTTTTTTTTAATAATGTTTTTCTAGTCAAAGCTGATTCATTCATTCATACACAGCTGTACTGCTTAGTCTCAGCTCTGTTTTGTTGAAACAGGAATGGTTTTAGTGAACAGCACGGAAAGATAAGAGATTTTCCGATTTTGCTGATCCAAAATCTGAATAGTTGTTGTACTTGTTCATGTACTTGGATCAAATCTGGAAAGAGGAAGTTGGTGGAGCTAGAAGATAACAATGTTGGCATCACATTTCGATTCTTTAGTGTCGAAACTGCCTTCGTTATCGACATCTGATCACGCTTCTGTGGTTGCGTTGAATCTCTTTGTTGCACTTCTTTGTGCTTGTATTGTTCTTGGTCATCTTTTGGAGGAGAATCGATGGATGAACGAATCCATCACCGCCTTATTGATTGTAAGTTCCCTCTATTGCATATTATCTCGAATCGAAAAGAGTAATTACTGAGTTCCAACTTGAATGACATTTGAGCCGTTTTGGTTGCAGGGGCTAGGCACTGGTGTTGCCATTTTGTTGATTAGTAAAGGAAAAAGTTCACATCTTCTCGTCTTTAGTGAAGATCTTTTCTTCATATATCTTTTGCCACCCATCATATTCAATGCAGGGTCAGTCCTTTTTTACACCCATTTGAGCCCTTTCCTCTTTGTTGGTTTAATAGTAACGATCTAATACGTTTAGTCGCACGGGTTTTACCTACAAAAGTTACATAAAAAAGATTGAAAGAGGAACTTAGTTTTTAAAAGCATGCATTATGTGATTCTAGAGTACTTGTGACTGTTATAAAGAAAAGAAGGCATGATGTCTTTTTTTCAAGTAGTTAGATTTATACACGTGCAAGTAAGTGGTCCTGGCTTTGTCTTTGTCATGGATTTACTATGTTCAGCTTCATTTTTCCCTGTATGCTTTCTCAGATGAATAATTTTGTTGTCTATTTCAGGTTTCAAGTTAAAAAGAAGCAGTTTTTCCGCAATTTCGTGACTATTATGCTTTTCGGTGCTGTTGGGACTATTATTTCTTGCACAATCATATCTCTAGGTAGTTTACTTCGCATTTTGTTTGGCTGAAACACCGCTGAATGCGGATTTGGGATTAGATCCAGATGGTTTTATATATCTCTACTGATTATCTGGTGGTTCTTGAAACAGGTGTAACACAGTTCTTTAAGAAATTGGACATTGGGACCTTTGACTTGGGTGATTATCTTGGTAAGGCCTGAACTAATGGCTTTTTTTTGTTCCTATTGCTTTACTTTATCGGTTTTTATTCTGGGAGACTTGATTTGTTTTTCGGTGTTTATTTCTCAGCTATCGGTGCAATATTTGCCGCAACAGATTCTGTGTGTACACTGCAGGTAATGTCTTATCTCCAAAATCACTCAAAGTACTTACAAACGCAGAAACATAGTGGACCGAAAGTTTTTGTTTCCCTCTTGTTGTTGTGATATAGGTTCTGAATCAAGATGAGACACCTTTGCTTTACAGTCTTGTATTCGGAGAGGGTGTTGTGAATGATGCCACATCAGTTGTTGTCTTCAACGCGATTCAGAGTTTTGACCTCACTCACCTAAACCATGAAGCTGCTTTTCATCTTCTTGGAAACTTCTTGTATTTGTTTCTCCTAAGTACCTTGCTTGGTGCTGCAGTAAGTCCATTGTTTTCTTCTCTGCCATTCTTTCTTTAAACTGCTATATGCATACTCTTGTGTTCACACCATCTTTCGAACTTCGTCATTCATCTTGCAGACCGGTTTGATAAGTGCGTATGTCATCAAGAAGTTATATTTTGGAAGGTACATATTTGGCGTCATATATGTGACTTGTTTCTATAAGTTTTTCTTGTTTGGTCTAACGTATATGTCCTCGCATGGCGTGTTTCAGGCACTCAACAGACCGAGAAGTTGCCCTTATGATGCTTATGGCATATCTTTCTTATATGCTTGCTGAGGTTAGATTCTGTGACATCTTATAACACGAATATATTGGGTATTTGGGTTGCATTCAAACACAAAATATATTGATGTTATATTAATTTGGTTGCAGCTTTTCGACTTATATATTGATGTTATATTAATTTGGTTGCAGCTTTTCGACTTGAGTGGTATTCTTACTGTGTTTTTCTGTGGTATTGTGATGTCCCATTACACATGGCACAATGTAACCGAGAGCTCAAGAATAACTACAAAGTATGCAATCCCCAGTTTCTCCACCTTTTGCTGAGGTTAACTCAGTTCAAAAACACTTTGTACCTCCCAATGCTTATCTTATGAATTGTTTCGATGACACAGGCATACCTTTGCAACATTGTCGTTTCTTGCGGAGACATTTATTTTCTTGTATGTTGGAATGGATGCCTTGGACATTGACAAGTGGAGATCCGTGAGTGACACACCGGGAACATCAATCGCAGTGAGCTCAATCCTAATGGGTCTGGTCATGCTTGGAAGAGCAGCATTCGTCTTTCCGTTATCGTTTCTATCTAACCTAGCCAAGAAGAACCAAAGCGAGAAAATCAAATTTAACATGCAGGTATGTATCTTACTACTTGGTACTAATAGATTTAATAATTCTTCTGGTTCTCAGCTTTTAATATCTATCTTTTTTCCCCATCATTCAGGTTGTGATTTGGTGGTCTGGTCTCATGAGAGGTGCTGTATCTATGGCTCTTGCATACAATAAGGTATAAAAAGAATGTCTGCAATTACTCTCTACGAAGCTTTAAATCATCATTTCACACTTGTTTCTATTGTAGTTTACAAGGGCCGGACACACAGATGTACGTGGGAATGCAATCATGATCACCAGTACGATAACCGTCTGTCTTTTTAGCACAGTGGTAAGAAATCTCTGGATGTTCAAATGGGTTACATAATATTTCTTAACTGAATTGGGTATTTGGTTAAAAGATTCTCTTGAACCTTTTTTTCAGGTGTTTGGTATGCTGACCAAACCGCTCATAAGCTACCTATTGCCGCACCAGAACGCCACCACGAGTATGTTATCTGATGACAACACCCCAAAATCCATCCATATCCCTTTGCTAGACCAAGACTCATTCATTGAGCCTTCAGGGAACCACAATGTGCCTCGGCCTGACAGTATACGTGGCTTCTTGACACGGCCCACTCGAACCGTGCATTACTACTGGAGACAATTTGATGACTCCTTCATGCGACCCGTCTTTGGAGGTCGTGGCTTTGTCCCTTTCGTCCCTGGTTCTCCAACTGAGAGAAACCCTCCTGATCTCAGTAAGGCTTGAGGAAAATGTGGAAATAAAGCTTTAATTTTTGGTAGAAAAGGGTGATTCAAATTATGCTTTTGTGTAAATTATCCATTTGTAATATTGTTTGTGAGGACAGAAATCTGTCCCAACGTTTTGAGAGCAGAAAACAAACATGGAAACTTTGAAGGGTTTGATTGACGTATGTATATTCATATTTGTTTTGTTGTAACAAAACTATGCGTTTGTTTATGTTTTGAATTTGGTTATTGCTGCGAACTTAACCAGATTGTTACGGTTTGGTTCCATTTTGGACAATAAGAATAAAAAGACAAAATTTCTTTATTGTTTTATTTTTGTCAAAACAAATGTTAACTGAACCTAATACAATAAAATTTGGTAGGTCTTGAAATTTATATTTTAATAGAATAACTATTTGTTATCCAAATGAGAAAACCATATTAAATATTATGAGTATTTTGTTCACTAGTGGATGATAGCATATTAGGCTAATGTTAACCTTTAATTAGCTTATGTTAGCAAGAGATTAATGTGGTATATAAGAAAACTATATACATTACACAATTAATGAGAATTAATCAGATTCTATAATATCTCTCTCTCAGTTCTCTTCGTCTCTTACTTGGAGGTTGTTACATTGTGAAGAAGCTAAGTTTGTTATTAAATTTTGGCTTTCTTTTTGGTGATTAGTTAACGAGAGAGAATGGCGCAAAATTAGAATATATCGGCTTGAAAGTTGTTATAGTCATCACATATTTGGACATCTTTTGTACAATGATAGTGAAATTATATGTTTTAGAGGAAACAAAATGTTTATCTGGGATAATGGATATAGGGCTTATAAGTTCAACCTCACCCATAATAGCTCTAGTTTCATGTTATTTATTTTCTTCTGTCTTCACCTGTGAAGTTCGAATAACAAAATATTCGAAGAAAAATTCCAAAATTCTTCTAAATCATTTTATATTTGTCTGGAATGAGAGTTTGCAATACATAACAAAATCTTTTTCTTGTCAGATATTGACAAGAACGTACAGTGGCGGATCTACATAGTAATTAGGTGGGACGCATGCCCAATCTTAATTAGCTTTTGGCTCTTTTGATTTCTTAAATGATTTGGTACTTAATATCCCCTAAAATTCTTGAAGAAAGTGTTTGATACCCACTTATTTTTACTTTCTTTTTATTTTCTACATATATTCTTTGTGTGTCACATGTATACTTTCAGTTATTATTATTAATAAGTGTTATGTTCATTATGAAAATTTATAAACTAAATATAGTATTTTGATATATGTGTATATATTTAAAATCAATAAATCTAGCATTTTCACACAAATTTATTAAAATTGAGTGATTTCTTGGGTTTCAATTTTCAAAATAGATTATGGTAAAAATATTTTTTCTTCTTCAAAAAAGAAATTATTGTAAAAAGATCATATTAGTTTATATAAATATTGCATAGTTAATTTAGTATTAATATATAGTAATTATTTAATTTTTTAGTTATATTTAACTTGTGCCCAGTCAAAAATTTTATCTACATCTGCATCCGCTATTGAGAATGTAAGCAATTAAAAAAGGTGTCATGAGAGATCACTATTAGCACATGTAGAATATGGTGTCGCCGGTACAATTTGTAGCCTGACTCATGTTTGTTTTTCTCTTGATGATATAGTATGATAAAACTATGCAGAAAATACATTATTTTTTCTTTCAAAATCTCATTTTTTTAGTATCAAAATTTTCTTACTTTATTTTTTTTTGGTTTGTTATCCCCAAGTTTTAGAATCAAACCACGGTAATCCTTCTTTTTTTTCTTAAAGCATTACTCTCCTCATATTACTAATACCAAGTAATATTTTTGTAAGGTTGCCGATTTTTGCCGATTGATTTTTTCTAATTTGGTGAATTTCGAAACATACTTAAAATTTTTGAATCAATAACTAATTCATCTAGTTGTTTTCCAAGCGTAGGATGACAACACCGGATAAAAAAAACTTATATAGATCTATCAAATTTTCTTATGAATGGCATACTCATTAAAAACAAAAACAAAAATTTCATCCTGTGTGCTATAGAGGAAAAAAAAAAAGAATGAAAAAAGAATAATAGTAACAACAAGCTAAAAATAAATTTCAAAATAAAAATAAAAATACGTAGCACAATAATAAGTAGGGAACTCCTCTGGAACAAACATTCCGAAGTATATTTATTTAGTTGGGCTTACAATAGCCCAAATATGTCCCCAGTCAATGAATGATTCTCTTAAAACGGTATCGTTTTAGCAAGACCACCTTATAAATACATAAAATCCCATCAATGCCAACGCCATCATCTACAAATTGTAATTCACGCTCCTTGAACAATCCGCCATCTCTCTCTCTCGCGATCAGATCGATAATGGCGACAAGTTTCTGCTCCTCCATCTCCATGCAAGCTCCTAAATCGGTACATTTCTCTCATCTTCTTCTTTTTGCTAACCGATACATAACGTTGCTCGTTAATATCGATTAGTAACATATTTTTTTGATACTATCAATAAAGAGTTCATAACATCTTGATTTATGCATTCGTAACACAAATCTCTTAGTTATGGTTGTTAGACTATCCTCATTGCTTCTTTGTCGTTGTTGATGCATGGTGAAATTGAAAACAGGGTACAACAACAAGGTTCAGTCTTCAGAAACCGGTTTTGATTTTCAACAATGGAAAGACTAATCTCTCATTCAGCTTGCATCGACGTTCGATGCCTGCTCGTCTCGCAGTTTCTTGTGGAGTATGTTTATTTAAGTACTGTAGATTTCATTGAGTTCTTGAGCCTGTTTGAATAAAAAAACTAATGTGAGGTATTTATGTGGTTTAAGGCCAAGCAAGAGACAGTGGAGAAAGTGTCTGAGATTGTGAAGAAGCAATTGTCGCTCACCGATGATCAAAAAGTCACCGCGGGAACCAAATTTACCGAACTTGGAGCTGATTCTCTCGACACGGTATATATCATCTCATTGTCTCTTGTATCTCAAAACTCATAGGACATCATCAACAAATTCTGCGTTCTTTTTGCAGGTTGAGATAGTGATGGGTTTGGAGGAAGAGTTCGGGATAACAATGGCGGAAGAGAGAGCAAAGGAGATTGCAACAGTCCAACAGGCTGCTGAACTCATTGAAGAACTCGTCCAAGAGAAGACTGCTTAGTTAAGGAAACAACCAAAGGCTTTTGTCTTTTGTTATTGTCTTTTGCTCAATTGTGTCATGCTTTGTTGTATTGTCTTAATTTGCCCTAGTGGTTTATTGTGTCAATCTTTGGACTACTACAAAACTTTCCTTTAGATTATCGAGAACAGAGAGATTCAAGAAACTTAGATTAATAAAAGAGAAAGAAGCATGATGGACAAGTACAAACACAGACAAGACTAAACCCTAAAAAGTAACACAAAGCCGGAAAAAAAAAGCGGCCATACCTCGAATCTTAAGAGATCCTATCCAACGTGTATTTACAGATTCAGAAGATGAGGAAGATGTTTGTAACCCTAGTCCTATTCCCAATCAGAGTCGAAAAATCCAGCATCTCTCATCTCTGAGTAGTATACATTCTCCAAGTTCAGATCTTCTTCCTGCAGCAAATCCATTTGCATTTTAGAGAGAGAGAGAGAGAGAGAAAAAAAAAAAGAGAGTGACAGAGCGAGAGAAGATGAACGATGAGGACATTTACCTGGAAAAAGTCTGCGAGGAAAGTAACGTAAAGAAGAGGAAGGTATAACGCGTGGTAGCAAACACTCATGATCCCATACAACCTGCAAGCATTTTAAATTAAAAGGCAGATACAAGCTGAACACAAGACAATATTCTCTGTTGGGATGGTTTTAGATAGAGTTACCAGAATCCAAAATGCGTGCTGTTTGCGGTAAACGCAGATGCAACTAGGTAAAGGCTGTATAAGGCGAACATGATGATTATGTAGTTGTAGAATGCAGGCCTTGCTGTTAAACACAAGAAGACATGAATGATGATAAATAGAAAGACACCAGTGAAGGCTATTATGGGAAGATAGAAGCGTCTGATCAACTTACCAGGCAATTTTTCTCTCCACCTAGAGTTGTACATCAAGAATACCATCCCATAAACGCCAGTGAGTAGAAGCTTATGAATGATCCATAATCCCCATTTGAACGTTTTTCCATTTTCATTGTTGTCAATAAACAATGGCACGCCAAATCCAAAGAGAAAAATGGCCTGAATAAAGGGTGAAAACCCGTAAGGATTACAGAAATGGTAAGGCCTAAACTTATATCAAAAACTTGTCATTTCATCATATCTAAGATTTGTTCAGAAATCAGAAGGTATAAGAGTAGACAAAGTAGAGATATGTAGTGAAGAATATTGATACCTTGAGAAGCAAATCAAGAGCCACAATAAAACCCGAGATTAGGAAAGTTCTAGTTAACGCTTCTGCACCGCTTGCATAGTTCCCTTGGAAGAGAAAAGCCACCAAGCTTACTTCCAGAAACAACATTCCAGAAGTTGTGAACAAAGTTAACAGATTCCAAACAACTTGTTTCCCAGGAGTACATTCCCAACCCTATAACACGCAAAAATACTAAATTTATCAAACAGGAAACACGATAATCAAATCCAAAGCTAACCCTGGAATATGTAAATGGGATACAAGGATCATTAGCTCATTTCCTAAACAGTGATTACAGTTATGATCTTCCTAACTAAACACATCTTACACCAATCTAAATACTATGATTTCATTCTAACTTATGACCAAAAAGTTTCTAATTCGAGTTTCACCGAGCCTAGAATAGTCTTTAATATCCTCATTCATTCCATCAAAGTTGTCATCTTTCTTAAAGATTCATTCATTACTCGCTAACCAATCAAATACTATAATCTCATTCCTAACTTATGACCAAAAAGTTTCTAACTTGAGTTTCACAGAACAGAGAAATAGTCTTCATATACTCATCATTCAATCAAAGTTTTGATCTTTCTTAAAGAATCTTTATGATTTGAGTTTAGCAGAGCCTAGAAGAGTCTTAATTCAATCAAAGTTGTGATCTTTAATCAAACAAACCTGAAGGCAGCACCAAGCAAGATTGAGCAAGCTAACAAGCCAAAGACACCCATAATAAGCGATCATGATATAAGATCTCCGATTCGAGAGTTTAGACAAACTCTTCTTCGCTTCGTAAGCTAAGTAAACGACAAAGAAGAGAGAAGCCGCAACAAGAACCGTGTTGTGTAAGAATCCATGGCACTTATCGACCCATCTATATCCATTGGCTGTTGAATTAGGGTTTAGCTGTGAAATCAGAAAAGGTGACTCTGCAATTTCCTCAAGAACTCGCATTTCATCAATGGTTATTAAATCAGAGAACAGAGAGAAAGAGCCAGAGCAAGGAGGAGCGAAACTGGATTTGGAAACCTAATAAATGGTTGGGTCTGACCAAATCAAAACATTGAGGTTAAAATTAGTAAATGTAGATAGTTCATGGGTCTTAATGTAATTAAACTAAGAACCTCTTCTTCTCGACAGTTTTTGGAGAAACCACTAACTAATTATGTTTTTCAAATTAGACCCTTCACTCCATCAAATCGAAGTTATTCAGGCAAATATAATTTAACTGCTAATTATTTATTGGAAATCTCAGAATTTAAAATGTTATAGTTGTTAAAGTCTCTTCACTAACTGTAGCTAAATTGTAACTATAGCCATAGTATTATTAGATGGTAGATATCATTGTTGATGGATTCACTAACTTACCAATGAATGTTTCGAATCAACATCGCAAACTTGTGAAAAACAAAGGAGTTTTCGAAAGAATTTTTTACAAAAAAAAGCTAAGAACTTGAGAGGGAATGGAAACTCAAAAATATCGAGAATCTAGACTACTAAGCAGAATCATCACATTACATGTTGAAAAAACCCGATAATCATCGCATTTTCAACTTCAATTCACTGAGCTTCATCATGCTAGAAGCAAATGAGCATAATATGCTCTTACCAAACAATAAGTAGTCAGAGAAAATATGTTGTTAAGTATATAACAAACGTTTTCGCTCTTCCCATTAAAAAAGAAACAAGAAACAATGAAATCAAAACTTGGATATACAACCGCGAATAAATATTTTCCTAACATAGTAAATCAAGCCTTGAAGAGTAGAGTTCGGATGCCGACAGGTAGCAATTCTCGGGAGCAAACAGGACATTGAGGAGTACGCCACAAGTGACTTGAGATGCAAGTAGCATGAAATATGTTATTGCATACTGTTTTGTAAACAATCTCTTTTTCTTTGGGATACCCTTTTTCACAAAGAAAGCACAAGTCTCTACCTCGGTAACAATCTACGATTTCCGTCGTGGTTGGAGCTATTGGGAGCACCCGCACAAATGTATCTCCAATGGCATCTTCTACATCCAACATAGGGTCAGCGAGTCTTAACACATTTATTACAGCTTCCATGATATCAATCTGTGGAGCAGGATCTTTCTGATGCAACTCTCTTATATGGAAGTGAAACAAAAAAACGGGACACGGGGGAGGTACGATATCAAGATCCTTGAAAGAGAAGTTGGTGACTAAGTAAGTAAGGATCTGATTAGTTATGTTGGAATCCTTCTCGGCAAAAAGGAAGACACGACCTAATAACTCTACAAATGATTTGGACAATCCAGCCTTTGAATCTCTTTGTCGTTGTCTCGTATATCGCTTCAATCGAAATCCACAACCCGATTGTCGATCTTCTTGAGTAACTAATACAACTCCGGCGTTAGAGTAAGAAGGCACATCAAACTTGTAAAGCCGGAGATTGCCTAGACGAGATGTCATATCTATACTAATGGTTCTTGTTCAAAGTTATAACCTATTTGTTACCTATGTATAAGAAAATATATATTTCTACTCCTAAAAAGCGTTTATGATCCGATTTCTTAAAAAAATATTATTCGCACCTTTATCTAAGAAGACACAAAGCAATGAAATTAGGGTTATCGATTGATAATACTATCATGGCTTTTCTGAGTTAGACACATGTGAGGCGTGTTACATGTTTTCTAAGGGATATTTATTTATTTTTTTAACGGCCGGATGATATTAGAGTTTCTATTTATTTATTGATTTTTATTATAGTTTCCTTTTACAAGTGTACAAATACAAAATACTGGAAATATATAATTGTAAGGCTAGGAGCACGGTACATCTCTGTCTTTATCCTTCAAATATAGATTTACTTATCTTGTTTTCAATCACATTTTCTTTCATTTTTTTTTAGAAAACACACCACTGAGATCCTTTGATAACAGGCACAATGCAATATTATTTTGAGGATATATGTCCGGATGAATGATATGGTTAGTACCGCGAGGACAAGTCGAGAGCGACCTAAATGGATTCGCGACACTCTCTGGAAAACAATGTGCGACTACTGGGACACTGAAGAAGCGATGCAGAGGAGTGAAACCTATTCAAAAGCTCGCATGTCTGACCGTGACGGACTCGGTCCTCACATTCATATCTCAGGCCCAAAATCGTTTCAACAAATCCAAAATGAAATGGTCAGTCACTTCATATTTCTGTTATTTCTTGATCTTAAACCTTTGCATATTTTAATTATGACTGGTTAACATATGTTATTTGGTTACAATGCATGAAGAGAAACTCGGAAGATTGGTCAGTCTTGGTGAGGTTTTCATCAAGACCCATACTAAGCCAGATGGTACGTATGTTGATCGGAAGGTGGAGAATATTGCAACAACTTACAAGCAGAATGTGGAACTGAGGTTGTCTGAGCTAGAGGCAGATGCTTCGGCTGTTTCAGATGGCGAGTCACGTCCTCGAGAGCTCACAACAGAGGACTACACCACCATCTTTCTTCAGGTTAAGTTTCATTTTCCCAAATTACATTTATATAATCTATGGAGTTTAATTGTCTTGCTTTAATCTCATCTTTTCACTTACTTTTTACAGTCCATTGAGAGGGATTCTAAAGGAAATCCGTATGGAGTTGGAAGCCTCAAGGAGACTCTTGGCAAGCGCAAGCGCTCTGAACAGTCTTCATCTTCATCCTTGATGGCTCTACAAGAACAGCTGAAGGAAGCTCAACGCAAGATAGAAGAGCAGGCTGCATATAATGAAAGGAGAGATTCTGAGGATGTTGCCCGTGAAGCTGAGCAATCCCGAACGGCGGCTGAGCAAAAGGACAAGCTCGAGCACTTGTCCTTGGTAGAGAAGTATCTGCGACAACCCGATCCGCAGTTCCTGGACTTCATGGCCACCCTTCAGCTGCTGCAGACACCACATACCCTCTCTCGCCTCTTCCTCAAAATGACCCATAGGTTTCTCCATTCTAACTCTCTTTTCTCATGAACATAAACTTTTCAGTCTCTCAGTTTTTGAACAACTGTTGGAAATGTGTATGTATGTGTACTTTGATTGTGAATTATTTGGTTTTTATTTGATTTGGAGTTTTTATTTGATTTAGTTTTGGATTAATGTTGTTCTGGTTATGGAATCAGAATCGAATCAGAATCAGATTAATATATCAAACAAAATCAGAAACCAAACAAATTCAAACGAGATCATGCCAAATTCTTATTCCGACAACAACTATAGTCGCCAATTAGTCGTATTAAAAGCCGCATATTAGTCGCATAATGGTCACTAAATTTAACGACTAAATAATAACTGTTTTACACTAGTCGCGTATTAGTCGTCAAATAGCCGTCACTTAGTCACTTTTATTTAACAACTATCTTTACGACTGCACTACACAGACCATGTATGAGTGTTGATTAATCGTAACATAGTTGCCAAATAGTCATCATAAATTACGACTAATATACGACTAATATATGACTCAGATAGGTTAGTCGTATTTTTGTCGCTAAAAGGCGACTAATGTTACCATTATTGATTTTAGCGACTAAAGATTTACGACTACAGGTATTAGTCGTAACCTAGTCGTAATTCTATGTTTTACGACTAATTAGCGACTAATGTCGTAGTCGTTAAACGGCTGTTTTCTTGTAGTAGTACTCAGAGGTCGGCTTCTCGCTTCGGAATCTTAGTCGGAATCGGAAGCTCTCTGAAGCTTTTGGAATCTCGCTTTCATAGTGCTTCTAAAAAAATTATTTTGGAAGCTCGTTGGAAGCTTACGATTCGCTTCTATTTAAAAAATTTGATGTCACAAAATAAATAAGAAATATGAAATTATTTTTGATAGTTTTCAAATACAACAAAAGAAAAACCAAAACTAATTTTGCATACTAATTTTGTATTTTAGTTTTAAAAAGATCATACTTACAAAAAATGACAACGACATGGATCATTTATTTGGGATATGTTGGAATTATTAATTGAATTAAATTAATTTCGAAAAGCTTGAGTTTGATGATGTTTTTATTGGTAAAACAAAATATAAAACAATTTTATTTGATGGAATTAGTAAAATGAGAATGAAGATAATGATCTTGTTCGAATCCTTGCCAAAGCACTACTTCGTGTAGTTCATTCTCGTGCCGGCGAGATCCGTGTCTTTGGCTTCTTCTTCAACATCACTACGTCTTTTGACAGTGACCAACCTTTCATTCACTGATTTGTTCGTGAAAGAATTGTCAACAATCTCTGATCTCACATGTACCAAATCGCCTCCAAGTGTTTGGTGTAAAGCTCTCATGGAACCTTTGTTGATGTACTTTATCTAACCGTTTGTCTACCTTTGTTTGGCATTGGAGAATGCCCTTCTTTGTCGTAATTTAAACTTTGGGATCTCAGTATCCTACAGAAAATGCCGGACCAAATCCTACAGAAGCTGAGCCGATTTGGTCCGGCATTTTCCGCGGCTGCTGCTTGACTCAGTCGCCGTGACCGCCGAACCGGAATTCTTCTCTTCCCCCCACGAGTTTTAGCCATCATCAGTCGGAATTTCAACAGAGGGAAGCGAGAGAGAGAGATTGGGATTCTAGAGTTAGAAAATGAAATCGATGTGTCTAAAATGGCGAGTCAAACAAACTTCGCTAATTAATTGTAAAGTCAACAAAAACTTTATGATTTAAATGTCTTCATCGTAGTCAATGATTAAATCGTCCCAAATTTGAAAGTTCATGATTTTTTTGACATTTTTCCCAATTTTTATATACGCTTCCAACAGGTACTCATTTTCTATAATTTCTATAAAAATTGCTTCCACGTTTCCAAACGCTTCTCTTCCGCGTACCCGCTTCTGATTCCATGCAAGTTCAAACCAAGCTTGCGTTCTGTAGAAAATGATTGGAGATTTGTAAGGCTTGTGTAGTTACGGGTTTTCAATGACGACCGTTGAATTAAAGGAGAAGATTGATCTGGCTGAGAAAGAGCGGAAAATATTCAACCGGCTTCTTGGTACTCTTTGTCATTGTAACCTCGACACACAGCTTCGTGTCGCGGGTGGTTGGGTGCCTGGCAAGCTTCTAGGGAAAGAGAGTAATGATATTGATATAGCCATTGATATTTGATAATATGTCGGGAAGTGAGTTTCTTGATAAGGTTAAGAAGTATTTATCTTCTAGAGATGAACAAGTACACGGACACAATATTATTGAAAAGAAGCCTAACCAATCCAAACACTTGGAAACAGCAAGAATACGACTTTATGACCAATGAATAGATTTTGTTAATTTGAAAAGTGAAGAGTATACAGAAAATAGTCGTATTCCTACTATGAAATTTGGTACGGCTAAAGAGAATGCTTATAGGAGAGACCTAACCATAAATAGTTTGTTCTATAAAATCAATACTGGTTTGGTTGAAGATCTTACAGATAGAGGTATTAAGGATCTCAAGTCCGGTAAAATTGTTAGACCGTTGCCTGCGAGAGTTACATTTCTTGATGATCCTTTGCGAGTTATTCGAGCTATTCGGTTTGGTGCAAGGTTTGGTTTTACTCTAGATGAAGAACTTAATGAAGCTGCTTCAAGTGAGGAAGTAAAGGTAGCTCTTGGAGGAAAGATTAGTAGAGAGCAAATCGGGAATGAAATTGAGTCGATGATATCCGGGAGTGAACCAGTTTCAGCGATTACTTGTCTTTATGATTTGAAACTTTTCGGTGTTGTCTTTGCATTTGAGCCCACACCATCTGAGAATTGTGGACGCCTAAGTAAAGTCTACATGCTAATTATGGGCTCTATACCATATTAGAATATGAGCTTCCAACTCAAAACCAATTGGCTAATATGTAAGATATATGAGTCAATCCACTTATTGCTAATTGGTTTTGAGTTGAAAGCCCATGAAACTTGACATGGTATCAGAACCCAATATATACGTGTCCAAATCCACAATCGGTCAGACCCAATAATTGGTTCGTCGATCCTTGACCGAGTATACCGTGATAAATGGTTGAAGAATCATCTCCTCGAGGGGGCATATTAAGGATAATAATATCCCACATTGAAAAGGACAAGGGATCTTGAATAATATATAAGATATTATGTCACTCTACTCATTGCTAATTGATTTTGAGTTGGAAGCTCATACTCTAATAATATATACGGCATATTCTTCTTTATCTCGCTACGATAGCGACTGTGCAAAACAACGGTGGTCGTAAGAACTAATCAAAGCAAAACAACAATAAAGGACATTAATGAAGGTGAACCTGGAAAAAATGGAGATGTTGCTGGAAAAATGGAGGTGTGATACAACAGCAGACGAGTCGTCAAAAAAACCAGCGATCAGAAAATCAATACACGTCATCTCAGCTCCAACCAATCAGCGATTGATTTTGCTTAAAAATGTGCCGTCTGCCGGATCAATTGCAACGATCAGTAAAAGAACGGGCCCATAATACCACACGCAAAGATAAAAGTTGTGAACAAAAATATAACTTGACGTGACTACAAAAAAAAATATCACCTAAACTCAAACTCACTGAGTTTCATACTAGAAAATGTAGTAACCAAAACTTGAAAGCAAATAAGCAAAATATGATCTTCCCATACAATAACTCTAGTCGCCAAAACGTTTTTATGTATATAACAGTGTATCAAAGATTCAAAGATTTCCTAACTTAAATTAGTATAGAAGAGGAGAGTTCGAATGTCAATTAGGTGGCAATTCTTTTGGAACAAACAGGACATTGAAGAGTACGCAACAAGTGACTTGAGATGCAAGTAGTTTGAAATATTTGATAACATACTGTTTTGTAAACAACTCCTTCTTTGGATTCCCATTTTCGACAAAGACAACAACAACTCTTGACCTCGGCAACAACCTACAATCTTCGTTGTCGTTGGAGCTATTGGTACAAATCTAGTTCCGACATTGTCTACATCCAAAGAAAACTCATTGATGCATGCTCAACAAATCTATAACAGCCTCAGTGATATCAATATGAGGTTATCCGTGGATGGTATCAATTAAGGTCATAAGACTTGTCTATAGCAACCGAGATGCTCCTCTCAGCCAGGTTACTCTTTGATGTTGCTCCTCCGTGAAGTTCATATTTTGTTGGATCATTGATGGCAAATTTCTGATTCTAATCCTTTTAAGTCCTCTCAGTTTTTGTCGCTCCTAAAAGGATGCATGTTTGCTTTAAGAAAATATACGTCTGTAAATCACAATTTTATTTGTTTATTGGTATATATATTTTTTCACATTGAACCCCTTTTAATAAAGTTACCATTATTAATTTTACCAAATTTTAAAATATGTTTTACGATGACAAAAAGAAATTAAGTTACCATTATTCTTTTGGAAAAAAAAAGACTTACACAAATATTCAAAAATTACAATGATTCAGTTTCATACAATGATTCTATTAGAACGAAGAACAGGTTCTGATACCCCATGGAGGATATAAAGAGCTAGATACATTTGATGTAGAAAGTAATCCTTTACGTAGCGATATGGGACATAAATTAGCAAGAACACTATATACTGGAGATAAAAAGGAAAGAGTAAGACAGGTATGGGAGAAAGTAACACCGCCGCTATAATCATAATGGTTTTGGAAAGCTTTGGAATATGGCTCACTACAAGAACCACACCCGTAGTAAAACTGATCGGCATGGCACAAAGAGCAATCATTAGATAGTTTAAGGCGAACTCGACGAAAGTAGCTACTCTATTGATATCACCCAGCTGCGCCAAAAGGAGAAAAACTAATGCTACCACTGAAGCGCCCATGGCCAAAGTGTTGCAGATTATAAACACCTGAAATGTTGTTTTCTTTGCCAGAGTTGCCATGCCTATATTTTCACCCGTAGAGGCATAACCCCCAGGAATTGTGAAAGCTGTAGCTAAAGTTACAGTAACCACGAGAAGAGTGTTGACAAGCTTTTTATATGTATTAGCATCTGGGTTTGTAGCCGTAGGTGCTGATCTGTTTCCAATTCTAGGTACAAAAGGTACAAACCATGGCTTTTGAGCCCATGTTAAAGCCAACAAGATCAGCCTCTGCAACAGGAAAGAAACGAAAATGATATATGGGAATGCTTTAAAGAGCTCATAAGTATAATATATCATGGTCACTATAGATATAAGACGTACCTCAGAGAATTTGTAGCTGGACTGCAGATTCGTCTCAGCAATATCCATAGCCGTTTGGCCATCATTGTTTTTTAAACGTAGATTACCGCCCAAACAAACAAACGCGGTCACAATAGTAGCTTGTCTCTTAATTGTAGCCAAGTGAAGCGGTGTGTTTCCTTTCACATCTTGCTCGTTAATCATTTTTTGTTTTTTTATCACGGACACTAATAAACATGAAAGCTAAAACTCTCCCATTTTCTGCCGCAATGTGAAGGATGTTTTGACGCTCTCTGTTAAGTAGCTCTTTTACGTTTGGAATACACTTGTACAACTTCCAAAGAATACCGACATGACCGCCCTTTGCGGCCAGGTGAATTGCAAAGAACCCATCTGTATCATCGATGAATACTTCTGACTGTGATTTCTTTAACAGATAACTAAAGCCTTCATAAAATCCTATGAATGCTGCCAATGAAAGACAAGTCCTGTTCTGTCCGTCTTTCTGTTTGATAAAATTAGGATCCATACCAAGAACAACTTTAAGAATATCTAATGACAAATAGATGAAGCACAAATAAGCATGGTTCACAATAAAAGCATGAGTGAACAAACAAAATGAAATAATTAATCATCAGAAGAACAAACCTATCCTTCTTGCTTTTAGAAATTACACAAATCGAAAAGAGAAAACAGAGTAAAGGTTTAAGGTTTCTCACCGTTTTCTTGCTTGCGCTTTGATTCTAAAGAGCTTTAAGATGCTTTCCCTATGTTTGCATTTGCATATCAACACCCGCGAGGCTTGAGATATAGATTGGAGTTCATAGAATAAGAAAGCTCTAGCTTTTTATAATGTTCATAGTCTAAATAAGCAGAAATGGTCCATGCATGAGGATGAAACAAACGTGTAGCTTCGTTCTATTTCCTTGCCATTAGAATAACATGGTACCACCCTCTCCACCTTCTTTTTATCAGAAAGTAGACATGGTGATAATGTAAGGCTTTCACATTTAGCTCTCTAATGTTTTGTTAGTAATACGAAAGGTGTATGCAAATTGAGAGGAGAAACCTGATCAGTCATGGGCAATAACCCAATGCCTCTAACACAGGAGAAAAAATCCATGAACTACTGGTTCCTACATGATTCAGAAACTAGCAAAGTTTTTGGTTGTGAAGTGGATGGATTCAGAAAATCCATAAACTTTTTAAGACCAAAATTTGTAAATAGGTCGGATATCCAAATAACCCAGAAATATTTTTACTCATCCGTCACAAAAATGACTGCAAAAATACTAGTATAAACTTGTGAAAAAATATTTAAAAAGTAAATGAGATTTCTTTGGGTTGTGATTGTAAAGGCCCACCCGATGGAAGCCCAGAAATGAGGATATTTATTTGTTATCGCAAAGAAGAAGAAGCATCAGCCGCTCTCGACAATGGTGGCCGGGGAAGAGGTTAGGGAGAAGAGAATTCCTCGGAAAAGATATAGAATAGTGAATAGATCCGCGGTAATATTGTTTGTTGTTAATTTTTAAAAAAGAGATTCACACATCCTGACCCTCTTTCTTGTCGCTTCTAGAGTTCCTTTATAAACAGAGTACCACGCTATGGTGGAATTGAATATATCTGTACTGTAACGATGAGTCTTGTCCTTGTCCTGCCTTAGTTATCCTTTATGCTAGGCTCGGCCTTCATCGTTACAATTTGCTCCAGGTTTTGTTAAACTCGCTCTATGTATGCATGATTGAATTTTAGACCAGGTTAGAATTCAATCAATGATTTGCTTTCTTTCTTGATCAATATTAGGGTAAAACCTTAGAGCTCAGTAGCGTAAAGAAATACAACAAGTCCACGCATTCTGCTGCTTCCTCTTACCACATTACTTTGAATTGCTAGACCTCTAGGTATATTACAAGACTTTTGTGGTGGTGCTTATACAACAAGCAAGCCATCTTACTAAATCATCATCATTCTCACTTAAACATTGCTGAATGATGAAATCAAGAGATGCAGCAGCAGCTTGTACAAAAACTTCTCCCCCATAGATACCATGCCTGAGTGGCCCCCAGAGAATCCTTTTGAACATTCAAAGCTGGTAAGATTAAGACCAGTGAGTTTTGCTTTTGCTCATGATCAACAAGTAGTAATAGTAGTGAGCGATGTTTTCCATAAGCTTCTTCTTTTTTCTTTTTTTTTGCAGCTGAGTAGTTATGAGCTGCAAGACAATGACTGGATTCGTCTCTACTTGGAACTTGCAGTTTCCACGACTAATAGGGCCACCGTTATGGTTCATGATGATCTGTCCAACCTGATGATTGTCCAAGTGGTTATAGATACTACTCCCCAAGATGTGGATTTGGTATTCAACCGCACAAATTTTGCAATTGTCTACATAATGTACAAGGACTCGTGTGAGGCTCGAGTTGGTAAGGATGTTGATCGCGTAGCTATAGTCAGAAGAGCCTTCGATGAGCAGCGGGGATGCTTCAGTCTTGTGGGCAAGACTCTGAGTTTACCAAAAGAGTGAGCAACTTTTGCTTAGCCTTATGTCTCAAACGGCAGCTGTTATCAAGTCCTAGGCGGTTTAAGGCATAGAAATACAGTGGGGCAAGATCCACATTCGAATATGTGGATTAGTTTGTACATATAAAACCAATAAGTTATTTGGTGCCTTTGGAATGTTTTATCTTTTTTTTTTTTTTTTTTTTTTTTTTTTTTACGTTTAAGTTGCATTTGGATTGTTTCTTTTGTGTGGGTTTAGGTTGTGCTTGAATAATTTAACATAGGTTTGTAGTTTTCCTTTTCATTTCTATCTAATAACACATGTTCCTTTCTGTTGATTTGCTTTAAGATACATATGGTGAAGTTTATTTAGATTATAAATAAAGTAAACAGTGTCCCGTTTTATTTCCCTAGACGTCTTCATTTTTTTGTGTTCATCTGATACATTTCTGATTTCATAGGCTGCTTTGCTATTTTCTTCAAAACAAAATAGTACAAAATATTATCTGGCAAAGTTCTCTGCTCTGTTTACGAAAAACTTGAAGTGGCCAAATACGTAGTTTAAGGAGATAGTTTTAGATATTTCCATAGAGAAACCGCAAAATAGAAAATCCGACCAATTGCTAGAAAGAACTCAACTTTGACTGTTTAACCAAATTGTTTTAACTAAACAAAAGCCGGATCATACCAAATGTCTAGATAGCAATACCTCCATCAATGGTGAATGCCTGCAAACCAAAGATTTTAACCATGGTTAGGCCGCTAACATAATCAGAAACCAAGGTTAACCGCCATTTGGCAGGATTATGAGTTACTAACCTGTCCGGTTATGTAACTGGCAGCAGGACTGAGAGCCAAGAATTCTACCAAACCAGCCACTTCTTCAGCTTTTCCATACCGTCCTGAAAACCAAACCGTTTTGCTTTGTATCACAATATTTTTGTTCTAACAATTTTTTGATGTTTCATACATCCTAATCCACATAAATTACCCTGCAACAAATGTAAAAAATGAAATTCTCCATTACCTAATGGGATTGTTCCCAGGATTTTCTTTTCCATGTCTTCTCCAAGCTCGGCAGTCATGTCAGATGCAATGAATCCGGGGCAAACCGCATTGACCTGGAATAGAGCAAATTGTCGACGGACCAAATTTCAAAATCATGTCCAGGAAATTCAGAAAAAAAGACGAATATGATGAGGGAGATAGATCACATACATTTATATTCCTGCTCGCACCTTCTCTGGCAATAGTCTTGGAAAACGCAATAACTCCACCTTTAGCTGCAGCGTAGTTTGCTTGACCAATATTACCAATGAGACCAACAACTGACGAAATATTGATGATTCTTCCCTGCAAGATCATATGTAAGAAGTATACCATAAATTATCCTTGTCTTTATATCACTTCTTAATCTTATAGGATAGCTCAAATGAAAACATAGTTGTCTTTTTATATGTCATTTCTCGTTATGCTGCAGGGAAGTAGTAACATGTCAAAACAAATGACAAACGTATGTGGAGACAATTGCGAGAATATGTAGAAAGTGTTACCTTTTTCTTCTTCATCATGATCTTTACTGCTGCCTAATGATAGTAAAGAAGTTTCAGTCCCTGAGAATCCGAGTATCAAAATTTTAGCAGGATTGCAGGAATACAAACCTGAGTACAGAGAAATACACCAGTGAGATTCAAAGCAATCACTTCGTCCCATTGCGATTGCTTCATTCGTATTAACAAGGTATCCCGAGTAATTCCTGAAAATATGTAGCCATGTCAGTAAGGTACTAAGTAAAAATTAATGGGAACCAAGGTTCTCATTTACCTGCATTGTTAACCACAACATCAATGGTTCCCCATTTATCAAGAGCCTACAGAAAAAGAACAAAAAGGAAAATGATAAGATGTATAAGGATTAGGGAATATGAGATGGTGTACAGTTGATCACTCACGGTTTTCATCATTGCATCCACATCAGCCGCTTTCGAGACATCACCCCCAAAAGTGATAGCCTGGCCACCATATTCTTCAATCTACGGTCCCATAGAAAAGAAATGTCAGAGATAACATGGAGTTAGGTGACATTGTAGAAGAAAACACTATTGACTGCAGATGACATTTGTTAGCTAAAAGATGGATCAAGAGCAAAATCACAAACGCATTTGAGAAGCAAATGGCAAGAAGAAACAGTTTCAAGGGCCATAACATTCAATTGTTTACATTTCTTGTCCCAGAAACCAAAACTGTTTAAAGGAAATATCATCATTAAACTCTAAAGGTACCACATTTGTTTTCGTACCAATAACAACATCCTTCCATTCCAAACACCTATGTATTATTTGGTCTAAAGCGATATCCCGAAGCAGAAAAACAAGGTAAGAGCTGAAAACCAAAGCTGATCAAAAACATTCTAAATACTTGGTGCATGAATCATGTAATTTGCACTCTAATTCACCAGGACCTGCAGCAGAAACAGAGTGTTTACTTCCAGATCAGAAAAGTAAGACTTATGTGTAGCAATTACGGAGATAAACCTATTGATGTCTCCATCACTATAATGACAAAAGAAACTGAAAGCAATCCTGAGCTAAAATCTTCATAACTCAAAAACTTTTAAGACTAGTAATATGATGCAAATTGAATGCTTGAAGAGTATATATACAGATCAAATCTAACACCAATGACTCCAAAATTCCGATAGTGTTAAGCCTAACCTTGCAGCCAGCTTTCCCCAAGGCTAGAGCAATTGCTTTACCAATCCCTCTAGAGGCACCAGTGATAACGACCACTGGAGATTCCACTTTTTGAACAACTTCGCCTGGTGATTGCTCAGTAGCAGTCGCTTGAGCTTTCACAACTGCAATCCATGAAGAATATGAGAATTGAGAGAGATCAAATCTATGTAAAACCGCAAAGGAAGAGAGAATAGAAATGAATATACCAGAGGTAGAAAACGGCTGTCACGATCCACATCGTAGTATTCCGAAACGAGGCATCGCAGAGTGAAGCGGAGCCCATTGCCGGACCTGAGAGATCTCACGGTAACCTAGCTTCGCGGCGGATTTCAAGGAGATGAGTCTCGGTGCTGTGACGGCGGTGGCCATGGCGAATCGGTTGTTCAAGTGAATCTGTACAAGTGAACCTCGTAGAGATCGACCCAGCGGAGAAGAGAGAAAAGTCTTAATGTCAAAATAGGTTATTGCTCTGAATATTCTGATGTCTATTGATGAAGAAGGAGATACATACATATAGGTGTATGACTAGCATTATCTTAACCTAATACATGAGTAAATAAGGCTTTACACGTAAGCCCATCTTCTATTCTTATTTGTCGAGGCCCATCATCTCTAATACTCCCTCTCAAGATGGACAGTGGAGATCGCGAACACCCATCTTGCCAAGAAGATATTGAAATTGGTTGCGACCGAGAGGCTTGGTAAGGAAGTCAGCCAATTGCTCTGTTGTTCGGACATGTTTGGTAGACAAGATACCATCTTTGATCCCGTTTCTGACAAAGTGACAGTCTCTTTCAATGTGTTTCGTACGTTCGTGAAACACTGGATTAGTGGCAATGTGAAGTGCCGCTTTGTTGTCACAGTGAAGAGTGATCGGTTCAGGATGTGGGATTTGAAAGAGGAGAAGCAGCTCCTTGATCCATATGAGCTCTTGATAGGTATAAGCCATCGCTCTGTATTCGGCTTCAGCAGATGAGAGTGACACTCGGTCTTGCTTCTTTGTTTATACGTAAAAGCTGAGATACGGATATTAGTGTAATTGACAATTTCGGAGCATAAAACACGTGATGAAGTATCAATTTTCCTCCAAGGAGAAGCGTCCCGTATCGTGTTGCCCAAGTGATCTTGTCATTTGGCAATTTAATAGGACATGGATCTATTTTTTGAATTTCGGTAAGGAGACTCATATCAACGGTCATATGATGAGACGCTCCTGAATCAATTATCAAATTGAAACGACTGTGAGTTCCATACAAAATCAACTTTTCACTCTTACCAGAGAATCCCTCTTTACTTGCTCCAATAGACTTTTTGTTTTTCTCGATAAAATCAGCTAATGCAGTCAATTGACTATCCGTGAGCTGCGGAGTTCCGGTTGTTGGTGATGATGTAGTCACCGCAGCCGAAACGTGTGAGGCAGAAAATGGAGGTCCACGACCACGTCCTCTACCCCGTGTAGAACCACGACCCCTACCAGAATTACCTCTTCCGGCGTTTGAATTTGATGGCTCATTCCACCATTCAGGATACCCGACGATATTGTAGCATTGACTCTTATCGTGACCTGTTTTGCCACAGTGAGAACAAGTCGATGTCTGCGTTTTGAAAGCACCTGATGTGGAAGCCGAGAACCCAACGACTCCTCCCTTTTCTTGTGGTTCACGTGTTGCATGAATGTGCCTTTCTTCTTGAATGATTTGCGTGTAAACGCTCTCAAGAGTCAGTTCATGAAGTCTAGATAGAAGATTTGATCGAGTTGTACCAAATTTCTAATTGTCGAGGCCCATCAAGAATTGGTGAATGCGAAGCCCATCTTGTTTCTTCTTATATTTCTTCATAGACGAGCAGCTAGAGCTTCCACAACAACAAATAAATCCTTTGTCTATGTCAGCAATATCATCCCACATAATCTTCAATTTTCCATAGTATTCTTCTACCGTTTGTCCATCTTGTTTACAGCCGGTGAGATCAGCATGGAGTTGATGTTCTCTTGTTCCATCACTAACGGAGAAACGAGACTTGAGACTACTCCACATATCGGAGACGTCGTCGACCAATGATATTGACGATCGCAGCTTTGGCTCCACGCTACTGTAGATCCAACCTATGATCATCGAATTCACCATATCCCATCGCTCTGCATCATCTCCATCGTTCGCCGGCCGTTTAAAGTTTCCAGTAAAAAAACCCTACCTTACGCTTGGTTCGCAAGGCATTCATCATGAGTTTGGACCATCTTTCGTAGTTGGTTCCATTCAACAGGATCGGCGTCAAGACCTGTCCCGTGTTGTCGTTGGCGTGGAGATAGTACGGAGATATCAACGCCACTTCACCACTTGAATTTCCCACGGTGAGCTTCCCTGAGCTTCCGCCTGGGCATTCGGATTTCAAATCGGATTCGGATCGGATATATTCGGATTCGGATAATTCGGGTATGAGAGTTTATTATCCGTTCGGATTTTATGATTTTTCGGTTCGGTTTCAGTTCGGATATATTCGGATTCGGATAATTTGGGTAGGAGAATTTATTATCCGTTCGGATTTTATGAGTCATCGGTTTGGTTTCGGTTCGGATAGGTGTCGGATTCGGATCAGTTTTCGGGAAAAAAAAAAACTTAAAAATAGTTCAATCTTAATAAAAATTGGTTTAATCTTACTAAAATTTGGTTAAATTTTGCAAAAATATGTATAATTTTAACAAATATAACTAAATTTTTTCCCAAATCTAGGATATTTAGGATATTTTTGTTATTTGCTATAAAATTACAACTAATTATAACTAATATTTTTGGATATATAATTTTTATTTCCGCTTTTCGGATATCCTTTCGGTTTTCGGTTCGGATCGGGTTCGGTTCGGGTAATTCGGATAGGAGAATTCATTATCCGTTCGGATTTTGTGACTATTGGGTTTGGGTTCGGTTCCGGATTTTTCGGATCGGTTTCGGATCGGTTTTCGGATTTCGGGTTTTATGCCCAGGCCTAGCTTCCGCCATCTTTCTCATCACTTCCAGTCATGCTTGATTCACGATCTGAATTTTTTTTTTTTTTTTTTTTTTTTTTTATAATATATATAGTGTTTTAAAATTCAAAGCAATCTTCACAGGGCAAAGGTAGGCTCTAATACCATGTCAAAATAGGTTATTGCTCTGAATATTCTGATGTCTATTGATGAAGAAGGAGATACATACATATAGGTGTATGACTAGCATTATCTTAACCTAATACATGAGTAAATAAGGCTTTACACGTAAGCCCATCTTCTATTCTTATTTGTGGAGCCCCATTATCTCTAATACTCCCCCTCAAGATGGACAGTGGAGATCACGAACACCCATCTTGCCAAGAAGATATTGAAATTGGTTGCGACCAAGAGGCTTGGTAAGGAAGTCAGCCAATTGCTCTGTTGTTCGGACAAGTTTGGTAGACACGATACCATCTTTGATCCCGTCTTTGACAAAGTGACAGTCTCTTTCAATATGTTTCGTACGTTCGTGAAACACTGGATTAGCGGCAATGTGAAGTGCCGCTTTGTTATCACAGTGAAGAGTGATCGGTTCAGGATGTGGGATTTGAAAGAGGAGAAGCAGCTCCTTGATCCATATGAGCTCTTGATAGGTATAAGCCATCGCTCTGTATTCGGCTTCAGCAGATGAGAGTGACACTCGGTCTTGCTTCTTTGTTTTCCAGCATATGGGAGACTTACCGAGCAAGACGACATAACCTGATAATGAGCGACGTGTTCTTGGACATGTAGAATGATCCGAATCACAATATGCATCGACATGAAGATCTGAATCTTTTCTTAGTAATAAGCCTTGACCGCAAGTCCCTTTGAGATATCGAACCAACCGTATAGCCGCGTCCCAATGACGTTGTCGTGGTTGTGTAAGAAATTGAGCTAGGAGGTGAACTGCATAACAAAGATCTGGTCTGGTAATAGCAAGATAAACTAGCCTACCAACCAACCGACGATATTTTGATGGATCGGAATAGAACTCGCCTTCCTCCTTTGCGAGAGTGTGATTCTGTTCAATGGGAGTGCTAACAGGCTTAGCTCCAATCATGCCACATTCAGAGATAATGTCCAAAGTATACTTGCGCTGTCAGATGTATATCCCTTTCTTTCCTCTAGAGACTTCTATGCCAAGAAAGAATTTGAGAGGACCAAAATCTTTCATGTGAAAACACTCACTCATATATCTCTTAAACTCCGCAGTTAGCTTAGAGTCATTACCTCCAATGATGAAGTCGTCCGCATATACTAAGACATACAAGCACGATTTCCCGGAGAAGTATGTGAATAAGGAGGAATCGGTATAGTTAGTAACAAAACCAAATTCGAGGAGTGCATTGGAGAGCTTTGCGAACCAACATCTTGGAGCTTGTTTAAGTCCATAAAGTGACTTCTTAAGCTTGCATACTTTGGAAGAATCTACATTGTTGATACCGGGAGGAAGCTTCATGTATATCTCTTCTTCTAGATCACCGTGTAAAAAGGCGTTATGAACATCCATTTGAAATAATTCCCAATCGCGAGCTGAAGCAATCTTCAAGAGGGTGCGAATTGTTGTCATCTTTACAACCGGTACGAATGTCTCATTGTAGTCTGTTCCTTCCTCTTATCTATTCCCAAGTGCAACAAGAAGAGCTTTGAATCTTTCAATAGATCCGTTTGAGTTATAGTTAATGCGGAAGACGCATTTGCAGCCTATAGCATGGTTTCCTTCCGGTAATGTGACTATATCCCATGTTTCGTTCTCTTCAAGAGCCCCAACTTCTCCTTGAACTGCGTTTGTCCATCGTGGATCAGATATTGCTTCCTTGAATGAAATAGGTTCTGTATCGGCACTTATTGCAGCCAGGAACAACTGTTGAGGAGGAGAGAACCGATCAATTGATACATAATCAGTTAAGGGATAAAGACACTTACTTGAGGAAATTTCAATGGAGAGAGAGTCGACGTGAGGGGTTTTATCAAGTTGCGTTGCGGAGTACGTGACGTATGGTTCAAGTAACACATAATGCATTTTCTTTCTTTTGCCAATACCGAGTTCTTCAATGTCAGCTGTATGTTCCACCTCTTCTTCGTTTGAGCCGGATTCTGTTGTTGGTGTTGGATCGATCGATCGTGAGCATGGATCGATCGATCGCTCACTCTCTGGTACATTTTTTGCCGTCGGATCGATCGGATCGACCGGTCTATTTTCTTCTTCTTCTGTTTGTTGCAACGGATCGATCGATCCCTCTGGTTCAGTGGTTTGCGCAGCAACTGTATCAATCGGACTTGTGTTCGTGTGCAGTGGTTCATCAATAAGGAGAGACAGAGACTCCCCCGGACGATCAATTCCTTCTAACAACTGATCATCTTGATTTTCGGAAGCTTCTTCAGAATAAGTAAAACTGTCTTCATGAAAGATAACATCACGAGAGACAAATACTTTCTCGGTTTGGAGATCCATTACTAGCCAGCCTTTCTTTCCAAATGGATAGCCGAGAAACATACAACGAGCACTGCGATCTTCAAACTTATCATTCGAATGCCGCACCAGCTTTGCGTAGCAAAGACACCCAAAGATTCTTATGTCATCATAAGAAGGAGACTTCTGAAACAAAACCTCGTACGGCGTTTTTCCTTTGAGGAGACTTGATGGTGTTCTATTTATGAGATGAGTCACAGCTTGAATGCTTTCCCCCCAAAACCTTGTTGGTAATCTAGCTTGAAACAGCAAGGCTCGAGCAACGTTTAAAATATGACGATGTTTCCTCTCAACTCTCCCATTTTGTTGTGGTGTATCTACGCAAGAAGTATGATGTGTGATCCCATTTTCAGCAAAATAAGAGCGTAGACACATGAATTCGGTACCATTATCCGTCCTTATTGTTTTAACCTTCTTGTCAAATTGTCGAAGAGCCCAAGCTACAAAGTTTTTGAGCACCGTAGCAACAGACGATTTCTCGATAAGAAGATGTGTCCAAACAGCTCGCGAGAAATCGTCTACAATGGTGAGAAAATAAACTGCTCCACAAGTAGCTTTTGTTCTGTAAGGCACCCAAACGTCACAATGAATTAAAGAAAATAAATCGTCGGCTTTATTTGAACTTTCTGAAAACGGTACACGAGTTTTTTTTGCTCTGAAGCAAACATCACAACATTCTTCTAAGTTGCTAACACAATTATTGAAAACACCAACATCTGAAAGAAAAGAATACTTTTGGCGAAGGATGTCCCATTCTCCTATGCCACAATTCCCGATTATCAACTTTCCCGACACGATTACTTTGAGATAGAACTGCACCAGCAAGATGATAAACCCCATCACGTTCAGTACCCGCTCCAATCAAAGTCCTCGAAGCTTGGTCCTGTATCACACAAAACTTTTTAGTAAAAATGACAACACTTGCAATATCACGTAAAAGCTGAGATACGAATATTAGTGTAATTGACAATTCCGGAGCATAAAACACGTGATGAAGTATCAATTTTCCTCCAAGGAGAAGCGTCCTGTATCGTGTTGCCCAAGTGATCTTGTCATTTGGCAATTTAATAGGACATGGATCTATTTTTTGAATTTCGGTAAGGAGACTCATATCACCGGTCATATGATGAGACGCTCCTGAATCAATTATCAAATTGAAACGACTGTGAGTTCCATACAAAATCAACTTTTCACTCGTACCAGAGAATCCCTCTTTACTTGCTCCAATAGACTTTTTGTTTTTCTCGATAAAATCAGCTAACGCAGTCAATTGACTATCTGTGAGCTGCGGAGTTCCGGTTGTTGGTGATGATGTAGTCACCGCAGCCGAAACGTGTGAGGCAGAAAATGGAGGTCCACGACCACGTCCTCTACCCCGTGTAGAACCACGACCCCTACCAGAATTACCTCTTCCGGCGTTTGAATTTGATGGCTCATTCCACCATTCAGGATACCCGACGATATTGTAGCATTGACTCTTATCGTGACCTGTTTTGCCACAGTGAGAACAAGTCGATGTCTGCGTTTTGAAAGCACCTGATGTGGAAGCCGAGAACCCAACGACTCCTCCCTTTTCTTGTCGTTCACGTGTTGCATGAATGTGCCTTTCTTCTTGAATGATTTGCGAGTAAACGCTCTCAAGAGTCAGTTCATGAAGTCTAGATAGAAGATTTGATCGAGTTGTACCAAATTTCTGATTGTCGAGGCCCATCAAGAATTGGTGAATGCGAAGCCCATCTTGTTTCTTCTTATATTTCTTCATAGACGAGCAGCTAGAGCTTCCACAACAACAAATAAATCCTTTGTCTATGTCAACAATATCATCCCACATAATCTTCAATTTTCCATAGTATTCTTCTACCGTTTGTCCATCTTGTTTACAGCCGGTGAGATCAGCATGGAGTTGATGTTCTCTTGTTCCATCACTAACGGAGAAACGAGACTTCAGACTACTCCACATATCGGAGACGTCGTCGACCAATGATATTGACGATCGCAGCTTTGACTCCACGCTACTGTAGATCCAACCTATGATCATCGAATTCACCATATCCCATCGCTCTGCATCATCTCCATCGTTCGCCGGCCGTTTAAAGTTTCCAGTAAGAAACCCTACCTTACGCTTGGTTCGCAAGGCATTCATCATGAGTTTGGACCATCTTTCGTAGTTGGTTCCATTCAACAGGATCGGCGTCAAGACCTATCATGTGTTGTTGTTGGCGTGGAGATAGTACGGAGATATCAACGCCGCTTCACCACTTGAATTTCCGACGGTGAGCTTCTCTGAGCTTCCGCCATCTTTCTCATCACTTCGAGTCATGCTTGATTCACGATCTGAATTTTTTTTTTCTTTTTGTTTTTTTATTTTTTTTATCTCTACAATAATTAATTGAGAAGTAGAAACGCACCATATTCAAAGTTAGGGCATTGGAGGCCTGTGGTTAAAAGTTGGAATGATTTGTCCTAAACACCCTTAATGAATTGTTCTTCTCGAAATTTCTTCTTCTTCGTAATTAGGGGTATATAAGTCTAATCGTGTGTTGATCTCTATACTAATGTCCTAAACACCCTCGATTTCGAAATTTTTTGTTCTTAATTGTTAGGGGTATATAAGTCTAATCGTGTTTTGAGATGATTAGTCTTAATCACCCTTAATGAATACACTATCAAATCCAGTTTTCTATTTTTTGGTGAGGGTAAAACAATAAAATCGTGTGAATTTTATTAAAATATAGAATATTTCGTTTTTTAATATTAAAATATAGAATATTTCGTTTTTTAATATTAAAATATGGAATATTTCGTTTTTTAATTTTTATAAAAAGTTAAGATAGATATTAAAATATCTTACGAATATTTGTATCAAGAAATTTTCCAATTTTAAAAAATAAATTTTTAGAGATAATTATGACAGTGTGCCCTAGATTTTAAGCTATAAATATAGAGCCGCAGCCACACCATTAGAACTCAGATTCGTTAGCCTAAACATATCGTTTTGATATTATAGCTTTTTTTTTTGTTGCTTTGGTTCTTTTATGGATCGATTTTTTTATTTTGCGTTATTATTTTTTACTTTTTCTTGAGGTTATATTTGTATTGTTATTATCTTGGTCTATGAATTATTAAGATTGTTATTGTTTTGCTGATTTATATCGTGTGAATTATGTTTTAGGTAACCGCTCATGGGAGTTTCTATCAAGAGATTGAATGAACGAGTTGATGAAGACATGCCTCTTCATTAAATTCATTAACAAACTTTTTACATCAATCGTGAGTCCTCTTTAATTTTAGTTAGCGCTTCTCTTATGTCTCTTTGTAAATTACTTACAATTTTATAATTTGTGTTGGTTTAATTATTGATAGTTGTCTCTCATCGGATCTGATGTAAAATAATTTTTTACCATGCACTACATAACGAAATATTTTTTTTTTGTCAACGTTACTCATAGTTTTTGTGTTTTTGAAGGCGGAGCATTGCGCTGATGCGGAAGTGATTTACAAGTTTTTGGAGGTCAATGAGATTGATAAGGTATATTATAATCGACTATGTTTTAGATTTTTTTTGTTTTTTCTTTTTATTTTGTATATTGGTTGTTGATTATTTTCTTTGATTATTTGTGTGATTGAGACCTTTTTTTTATATAGAATATTTGTTATTCGTAGAAATAATTATGTCGTGTTATTATATGAAAGATTTGATAAATTATTGGAACTATGTTGGTCAAGGTTCTCGAAGAACTCATCTCTACGTTTAAATCGATCTGATATAAACATGTATTTTTGTATATTAATATTTCTTACTTTTATGAGTTTTTTTTTATTATTAGATGACTACGAGAAGGTAATCTCTAATCTACTATTTTTATTTGTATTTTGTTATGAATTATTTATATGCTTTCTTTTGTTTTTTAGAAACTCTAACAGTAATTTGCCTTTCTAAAACATATTGAGTCTATTTTGAAGCTCGGGAAAAACAGAGTTCTCTAATACGATATCGGTCGAGATTGCATAGGTATGTCTATCGTGATGAAATTGTTAAATAGATACTGGGCTTCTAAGCAATTCTATCACTTTGAATCGTTGTAATCGTGAGAGAAAAGTTTAGGGTTTGATTGTTTCAGTTTTGATTAGTGAATTGAAAGATGCCGCAATTTCCACATATGATTTTTACGTTCAATCATAATTTGGATGTGTGGAAATTAATACTTGAATCGATGGAGAGAAGATTACAACTGACGTGTGAGTTAATTTGTGTATTTTATGGTACATGTTTTCGTCATGGATCAAAAAGTTCAATCCCATCTTTATAGGAGTTAGGCTTTCATCTAACCTCTTTTATATTTGATAGATTGTTTGTTGTGTTATTTTTTTAATTTTAGATTCAAATATATATATTTTAATTTCAGTTTTAGGCGACTAAAGGATTGAATATGCTATGAATATGTAATTTTATATTCTTTTGTTTATTTAATTGCCATTAACCTATTTTGACTTTAATTTATATGTTTTATTATGAGAGATAGGAAAAATAGCTATCCTATTTTGACTTTAATTTATATGTTTTATTATGAGAGATAGGAAAAATAGCTGATCAGTGATTTTTGGTTGTCGGAGACTTTGATCCGAATGAGCGACGGTGATGAAAATATGAGTGGTGGATAGAGACGCAAGGGATCGGTGAAGTTGTTTAATACACACAAGGGGTTTGGTTTCATCACACCAGACGACGGTGGTGAGTGGTGACGATCTCTTCGTTCACCAGTCCATTAGCTCTGAAAAATTTCGTAGCCTTGCCGTTGATGAAGCTGTTGAGTTCAAGGTTGAGGTTGACAACGCCAGTCGTCTGAAGACTGTTGAAGTTTCTGGACCCGAGGGTGCTCCTGTTCAGTGAAATAACGGCGGTTCATCTGGTGGACGTGGTGGTTTTGGCTGTGGAGGTGAGGACGTGATGGTGGAAATTATTAAGGAGGATATGGTGGTGATGGTACTTGCTTTAGGTGTAGTGAACCAAGTTATATGGCGAGAGATTGTTGTCAAGGTGGTGGAGGATACAGTGGTGGTGGAGGTGGTTGAAGGTACGGTATGTTGTAGGTGGAGGTGGTGGTACTTGCTTTAGTGGTTTTATTTGTTTCGTTTAATTTTGTACCAATCTTATCATTTGTATTAAGGATTTTATAACTAGAGACGTAGGTACATATGAAAAATGTGAATGTTTTTATTTATGAATTATAAAACATGTTGTGTTATATGTCATTTAGCTTATATAATATTTAAAACGTTTGTGGATATCTAAGAAGTGAAATTATTGGGGCCGGAGTTATTTGACGAACACATCAATTGGATTTAAAAAATCTTTTAACAATATGCTATGTGTCATTATTTCATCTCATAAGTGATATTTCATTAAACTTTAATCTGTTATATAATTTATGAAATTTTTTAGATTAAATCTATTGGATACGATATCTATGATTCTTACACAAAAGATCAAAGTTTACAAAAAAATCTTTAACAAAATCTCTATAAATTTTGACTTCGATTTTATTTTGCGAGAATATAAGGATAAAATTGTACAAATTTGATAAAGACTTTAAAATTTTTAAATAATGATGTGAATATTTTTATCTCGAAATTGTTTAATTAAGAAAGTTAAAATTCGTAAATATTGAAGATAATGTCTTATGAATCAAGGATATAATCCGTCAAGGTACTAATATTTAAATAATTATATTATGATTATAATTTTTCCACCATGTATTTTATAATTTGAAATATATTTTTGTTTTGAATTAAAATTAAAAAATTAAAATCTGTAAGGGTAGTTTCAGAAAAGGATGAAAATAAAAAAAGACACAAAGTTCTTTTATTCTTAAATATATTGACATGTGATTTTCATCCCACATACTATTTTTAAATTATGTGTTTATTATATACATATAGACACTTATATGATTAATTAAAGATTTGCTCTCTATAGTAGTATTTAATTAGATATTTTTAAAATTGTTCATATAACTTTCTCTTTGCTTTTAAATTGTTTCAGTTTTATTAAATTTAGTGATCACTAGAGGAAAATCCGGGCGTTAATAATTGACATTTTTAGATTAATTAACTTAAGTTTAAATTCAATTTTAGTTATACATTAAAAAGTCATATGATATTGTATTTAGCATTTTAATAAATATAACCTATATGATACTATTAATCTATTCATTCTAATTTATATTTACAAATTGAAATTTATTTTTTGTTTCTTATTATTACTTATATAGTTGTTTTTCTCATCTATATAGTCTCTAATAATCTTAAAGGAAAATGATCTCTTCATAATAGTATGAAATGTACCTTTTCTAATAGTAGTTTTAATTTTGGAGAAATTCCAAAAGCTTTTCAAATTTATCTTCTTTAGTTATGTTGTTAAGGATTTGAATATGTGTAATTTGATAACTTGGTTTCTAATGTTATGAAATCTTGAAGAAAAATAACAAAAATATCATTATTTTTAAATAACCAAGCAATGGATTAGCAAGTAAAGAACGATGGTTCTTGTGTGATACTACATCATTGACTTTGATCGTGTTAAGAAGTCAATATTCAAATTCCCTTTAAATGTTTTGATTAGTTTATTTTTCACTTTATATGTAAAAGCTAAAACTTTTCTTTCCCATTTTATCAGCGGCTTAAATTTAAAATCACTTTCGGAATTTTAGCAGCCAAATTGTCAATTACTTTCAACCTAATTATTTTAGTTTGTTTGAACAAATTTGACCTAATTATCTCAAAGCTTGAACTGAACGTATCCAACACATTCGCTTCGACATAACGACAAGAGCGGAGTAGGGAAGACAAAATTTTGACCTCATGAATTTTAAAGCCTTGACAAACTTGATATATGGTCATATTGAAATAAACTGCAAGCATGTAAGAAAAAAGTTAAATCTCAGTAATATGAAAGTGTATGTAAATGGGTCATTCTTATTATTTATAAAAAAAACCATTGAAACTTTTTGAGGAAAACCACATGCTAAATGTTTTTTAAAGGAACATTATTTCATTACACATTTTAATTTTCATTGAAATTGATTCCAAAACTTACGATGAAAGCCAAATATAATACTATCAAATCCAAGTGAAAGTATTTTATTTTTGTTCATCACAGTGCGTTGAAGTTTTGTCCTACACATACACACATCATCTAATCACACGTATAGAAACAAAATATACATAGAGGGATGGATCTTTATGTTAGTAGAGCAAAAATACCTCTAAAGCGTGAACTGAGGTTTTTACGCTTCAGTTTTTCTAATCTAAGGGTTATCTTGGGTAGTCGGCTTCGGCAATTCGCTTCCAGGGTGCTGCGTGCGAGCAATCGAGGAACTGAGCAAGGTAAATGTTGGCGGATTCATGATTTCGGAGGATGATGCTGGTCTCTTCCACGAATTTGTATCTACTATTAATTACACTTTCGTAGAGTGAACTTCTTTAGAGTGATCCAATGATGTTGATGACCACGCCAAATTCATCAACATTTGAGAAGTAATAAGTGCGATGAATTTTGATTGGGTGGCTTAGGGGGAATTCCAAAAGCTGAAGTTTGGGCGAGGGGAGTCTCTTGAGTGACCTATTATATACTATGTGTCAATGAGACGTGGATAATTGTAAGTGGTTTTTAAGAGTGATGTGGCATCTTGCAAAATCTCCGCTTACGTGGCTTCCTCTAAAATGCTTTTGATTGTGCTGATGTGGATATATTGAGAGGCCTCAATGAACACCTTTTATTAGTAATAGATGTTGCCAGAACTAAGAGTTGATTCGTATTATTAACACTGCTCATGCCGCATGTATGTAATTTAATTTAGATCACTTTTTAGCTTTGTTTTGAATTATTTTGGAATATGAGTTCTACATAACGTGAGTTTATTTTGTAAGTTTCTTTTTTTTTTTCTTATACTGTGGAGTGTGATCAAGCTGCTTTTGGAGAAGTGAATTAGTTCAATATGATTCATGTTTCCTATGATCACGATATTCTTCATCACTCCATCTACAAACTTATAAAAAAAAACAATTGTAAGTACACGATTAGATTGTTTGTGTGTGTGCTTGATTTAGTGTTTGTAGATATTTGTTTTGTAAGCAATATTCTTTTTAATTAAAATTTAAAACAAGTACTAAACACAGACATTTATATATATATATATATATATATATATATATATATATATATATATATATA